TATCTATCTATCTATCTATCTATCTATCTATCTATCATCTATCTATCTATCTATCTATCTATCTATCATCTATCTATCTATCTATCATCAGAATGGAGCTGGAAGGGACCTGGGAGTTCTCCCAGTCCAACCCCCTGCTCAAACAGGAGACCCTATACCAGTGATGGCAAAGGTTTTTCTGCACAGGTGCCAAAACAGCACACACTCGTGCAATAGCACATGTGTGCCCACACCCATAATGCAATGCCCTCCCCCCACACATGCATGCACAACCCCCATGTCCCCGTCCCCCCCGTGCATGCGCACAGGCTTCACTGAAGCCTCTGGACTTCCAGTAGGCCTGTTGGCCCGTTTTTCGCCCTCCACAGGCTCCAGAGGCTTTCCTGAAGCCTGGGGAGGGTGAAAATGGCCTCTCCTGCCCCCTAGAAGGCCGAAAATCGGTTGGCCAGCATGTGAATGTGTGCTGGATCTGACCTTGGGCAATGCCTCTTGTGCTCTTAGATATGGCTCCGTGTGCCACCTGTCATAGGTTCATCATCCCTGCCCTTTACCATCCCAGAAAATGGCTGTCTAATCTCTTCTTGAAAGCCTCCAGTAATGAAGCGCACACAATTTCTGGTGGCAAGCAGTTCCACTGGTTCATTGTCCTCACTGTTAGGAAGTTTCTCCTCAATTCCAGGTTGATTCTCTCCTAGATTAGTTTCCACCCGTTGTTTTCTTGTCCTGCCTTCTGGTGCTTTGGAGAATAATTTGACTCCCTTTTCTTTGTGGCAGCCCCTCAAATAATATTGCTATCATGTCACCCCTAATTCCTCTTTTCTTTAGAGTGGCCAGAGACAAAATCCTGCACCTGTTCTTCCTAAGTTTTAGTCTCCAGGCTTTTAATCCTCTTAGTTGCTCTTCTCTGCACTTTTTCCAAAGTTTCAACATCTTTTTTTCTAAAGTGGTGACCAAAACTGGATGCCGGATTCTAGGTGGGGCCTTACTAAGGGTTTACAAAGCAGGAGAACCTGGTGCGACATAAGAGCAACCCAATCAATCCCCCCCCCCCCAAATCCGTATCTTCCTGAAATCATAAGCTGGGAGTAAAGGCCTGGAGGGTTCCCTTTGGGGTGCCTCCCTCTCCCCCTTTTTCCACCCCTCAAACCATAAAGGAAAGGAATACCCCAGAGCTGTCAATCACTTCCCAGCCCTTCAGCTAATTAGCCATCTTCTTTCAAATGATTAATCAATTAGCCAATTAAAATAAATACTACAGTAGCTGAGGGTAGGTGTTATCTGGAGAATTATACAATTAAGACCGCAATTGCTCTTGACTGAATAACACCGACAAGCCAGCATTGTTGGGGAAATCATTTCGCCGGGAAGGG